TGTACAGATATCAGTGAGTTATTCCTAAAAATTACAGCCTACAATAAAAAACTACATATTTCCATGCAAAAAAATGTACCACAGCATTTCAATCGGGTTGAGGTCAGGACTCTGACTGGGCCACTCCAGAAGGCGTATTCTGTGCTGTTGCAGCCATTGCTTTGTTGAATTACTTGTATGCTTTGGGTCATTGTCCTGTTGCATCACCCATCCTCTGCGGAGCTTCAGTTGGCGGACAGATGGTCGTACATTTTCCTGCAAAATGTCTTGATAAACTCTGGAATTTATTTTCCCATCAATGACAACAATCCATCCAGGCCCTGAGGCAGCAAAGCAGCCCCAAACCATGATGCTCCCTCCGCCTTATGTTTTACAGTGGGGATGAGGTTTTGATGTTGGTGTGCTGTGCCTTTTTTTCTCCACACATAGTGTTGTGTGTTCTTCCCAAACAACTCAATCTTGGTTTCATCTGTCCACAGTATAACACATCCAATATCATCACACAGATTGTAGTCAAGGTTGGCTTACTCCTGGCTCCAATTAGCTCTGGGAGAAGTCATTAAGCTAGGTGCCTCACATACTTTTTCCTCCCTGCACTGTGAATGTTTACATGTTATGTGCAATTAAACCATGGCAACATCTAATGTTTGTGTAGTATTATGTTCACAGCCAGACTGTGTTTCTTCTATTATTGGAGTTAGATGACGTTCAGCAGCACATTTTATGCCCAATTCATGCAAAACTCCACATAATTAGAGATGAGCGAATTATTCAAAAATTCGATTGATTCGGCTGATTCGCTGTTCGCCGAATTTGCAGAATAAATTCGATTCGATGCGAATTTATTTGCTGCTAGATTTAACTTATTAAAAGGGTTTCTAGGCTTCAGAGAGCCTTTTATATTAGTGCAGAACACTGTACATTTAATTTAAATGCCTTTGGAGTCTGCTGGGGAAGAGAAATAATACTGTCAGTCAGTATGACATGCAGATGAGAGCCGTCGATCTTAGAATCACATCCGAGCACACTTCACTCATTTGGGCAGTCACGGGGCACGACGAAGAAGATGAAGAAGAAGATAAGAAGAATATGAAGAAGAAGAAGAAGATGAAGAAGAAGAAAAAAGAAGATGAAGAATGAAGAAGAAGATGAAGAAGAAGAAGAATGAAGAAGAAGATGGATGAAGAAGAGATGAATGATGAAAGAAGAAGAAGAAGATGAGGATGAAGAAGAAGAAGAAGAAGATGAGGATGAAGAAAAGAAAAGAAGATGAAGACAAGAAAAATTGAATAAGAAGATAGAAGAAGATGAAGAAGAAGAAGAAGATGAGGATGAAGAAGAAGAAGAAAGATGAGGATGAATGAAGAAGAAGAAGAAATGAGGATGAAGAGGAAGAAGAACGAAGAAGAAGAAGATGAGGATGCTTGAAGAAGATGAGATAAGAAGAGAAAAGAAGAAGAAAAGAAGAGAAGAAGAAGAAGAAGAAGAAGAGGATGAGGAAGAAGAAGAAGAGATGAGGATGAAGAAGAAGAAGAAGAAGATGAGAGATGAAGAAGAAGAAAGAGATGAAGAAGAAGATGATGAAGAAATGGTGATGAAGAAGATGATATGAAGAAGAAGATGATGAAGAAGAAGAAGAATGAAGAAGAAGAAAGAATGATGAGAGAAGAAGAGATGAATAGATGAAAAAGAAGAAGAAGAGAAGAAGAAGAGGATGGAGAAGAAGACAGAAGAGGATGATGATGCATGTGAAGAAGAAGGCGAATATGAGGATGAAGAGACAAGAAGAAGTAGACAAGAAGAAGTAAGATGAAGAAGAAGATGTTGAAGAAGATGATGAAGAAGAAGATGATGAAGAAGGAAGATGATAGAAGAAGAAGATGAAAGAGAGAAGATAGATGAAGAAGAAGAAGAAGAAGATGAAAGAAGAAGAAAAAAGAGAAGAAGAAGAAAAAAGAAGAAGAAGATGGAAGAAAAGAAGATTGAAGAAAAGAAGAAAGAAGAAGGAATAAGAAGAGAATGAGGAAGACAGAATGAGATAGAGGAAGAAGAAGAAAGGATTGAAGGAAAGAAGAAGAATGAAGATGAAGATAGAGATGAATGAAGAAAGAATAGAAGATGAGGATGAAGAAGAAGAAGAAGAAGAATAAGATGAGGATGAAGAAAAGAAGAAGAAAGATGAAGAAGAAAGAAGGAAGAAAGATGAAATAAGAAGAAGAAGATGAAGAAGAAGGAAGAAGAAGAAGATGAGGATGAAGCAGAAGAAGAATCCAAAGAAGAAAGAATGAGGATCACAAGAAGAAGATGAGGATGTAGAGGAAGAAGAAGAAGAAGAATGAGGATCAAGAAGAAGATGAAGATGGATCAAGAAGGAAGAAGAAGAAGAAGAAGAAAATCCAGGATGAAGAAGAATAAGAAAGAAGACAGAAGATCTGAGGAAGAAGAAGAACAAGATTAGGAGAAGAAGAGGGTGAGATGAAGAAGAAGAAGAAGAAGTGGAAGAGGATGAGGATGTAGAAGAAGAAGAAAGAGGATGAGGATGAAGAAGAAAGAAGAAGAAGAGGACTGAGGGATGATGAAGAAGAAGAAGATGAGGATAAGAAGAAGAAGAAGATGAGAAATATAAGAAGAAGAATAAGAATAAGAAGAAGAAGAAGAAGAAGAAGAAGAAGAAGAAGAAGATGAGGATGAAGAAGAAGAATAAGAAAGAGAGATGAAGAGTGAGGAACTGAAGAAGAAGAAGAAGAAAAGAAGAAGAAGAAGAAGAAGTTGACAGAACGAAGAAGAAGAAGAAGAGAATGAGCGAATATGAAGAAGAAGAAGAAGAAGAAGAGGCGATGAGGATGATTCGAAGAAAGAAGAGGATGAGGATGAAGAAGAGAAGAGAAGTAGGAGATGAAAATAAGAAGAATTCCAGTACAGCAAAGTGTAATCTGCAGAGAGCTCCGCGATTTCTGACAGTCTCTGACAGTTCCTTCACATTTACAGCGGTTTTGTAACATTATCTATTTTGTTTCCGAATAAAAACATCTGGATGATACAATTGTTTCAACCCGCATGTAAATGTGAAGGAAACTGTCAGAGAACGGTCTTAGCGGAGCTCTCTGCAGAGTTGTGACGGCTTAGATGAAAAAATCGTTCGATCGGGAAAAATTCGATTCGTGCATCCCGAAGTTAAGGCTATTTTTCGGATTCCCGAATTTTTCCTAATAATCAAACGAATTCCACTTCCGCAAGTTCGAATTCGGCATCCATCTCTATAATCCCAAAGGGGTTCACATACTTTTTCTTGCAAACTGTATATATTAGCTTGATTAGTTAAATGCATTAAATTCATGTATTAATAAAAAATCAGTTGTGCATATCAGGGGTAATATTGGCTTCTATAATAAGAAAAAGTGGAGTTCAGCTTTTAACAACAGTGAGAACTCCTATCTTGGTTATATAATGTGTTACAATTTAGTTTTTTCTTTGACTATAATTGAGTGGATGTGCCATATACTATTCATGGTTCTATGCTTAATAGTAGATCTATTACAATTCCCTCTTTCCTGAAGAATATAAATTTTATAGAAACACCCTCTTAAATACCCTAAATTGGTATATAATCCTATCTTGGATTTTTTGGATATTGAAAGTACCTGTAATCATTATAACTGTAGCTTGAAATTACTTACAGTATATACAAGTGATTTTTGGGATTCTTAGGTTGTAGGGTCACATGAGGGAATGTTCTGCATCCCTACTAACAGAGGATGTGACATACAGGAAGGGGTTTTATTGTATATTGTGTTTTAATATGATTTAAATAAAATGTGTTTGTTTTTTTAAATTAATTGTGCTTGTGTGTTAAAAACCATCAAAAGTCAAATTGCTTTAAATATTTGATAAAAAAGGAAAGAAGAGATGAATGTGTTATATAATAAATTTATTAGGGAAATGCATTAATTCATGCATTAATAAAAAAAATCAGGTGTGCAGATCAGGGTAAACATTGGCTTCTACGCTGAGAAAAAAACATGAAATTGTTTTCAGAGATGCAGAAAATTATTTCCGTCAATGAGGGAAAATATTTATTTACCAGTGTTTAATGTGCCTCATTAAGCCAGGGTCATCGCAACATGAGCATCTTTAAGATGGCATTTCTAGGAAAAAAGCTATAACACTGGAAAAATACCATCTGAAAGTAATTTGCCAGTGTACAGTAGATATTCCTAGAAAGCATTAGATTTTATAGGTCATATTAGCTGCTAATGGAAGAAAGCAATTTATTACTGAATTCCACTACCTAATCTTGCAGAATACAACTTTTCATTAGAATAATTACTTCAACATTTTGGAATCCTCAGTACATCTTTAAAAACATATTCAACAAACCATCTCTGCTTACTGCATTTTTTCATGTTTTTACATATGCTTTCCAATATGCATTGCATATAAACAGCAATACGTATTAAAAAATGTGGAAACGCTATATGTAATGAAGTAGGAACAAACATTTCATACCATTACAAACACTAAACAGTAGAACATATGGATATACTAGTCACATTACAAAACATACTTTAAAGGCAGTAAATCATCATAAATCTGAGATCCAAATTAATCATTTGTATTGCAGTGGTCTCCAAACTGCAGCCTGGGGGCCAGATGTGGTCCTTTGCCTACTTTTATCTGGCCCTTGGGGCACTATTTTTTTCCATTGATACCAACAATGGGGCATAATTCCCCCCACTGACACCATTAAAGGGGCTGAAAAATTCCCAATAACAGGTCACAATTCCTCCCAATGACACCAACAATGGGGCCCAATGACAGTAACGATGGCGCGCTATTTCTCCCAGTGATACCATAGATTTTGCATTGTTTGTTCTGCAGAAGTCAGGACCCTTTCTACTCCCAAAAGTCCGGCCCCCCTTAGGTCGAAAGGACATTAAAACTGGCACTTTGTTTAGAAAGTTTGGAGACCCGTGGTATATTGCATTACAAAATGTTTCATTTCAGTGAAGACCAGGGGCGGACTGACAACTCATGGGGCCCCTGGGCAATAAGGGATCATGGGGCCCCTGTGTCCTTGCCCAAACTCAAAAAAAGCCTATGAAAAAGGTACCAGGGGCATCTCATGGGGCCCCCTACTGACCCTGGGCCCTCGGGCAGTGCCCAAGTTTTCCAAATGGTCAGTCTGCCCCTGGTGAAGACCCCCCTCCCCCTCCATGGCTACATTTTTACATTTTATGTATGTTATCTACTACTCATTTCTTTTTACATTAACATGTAACCTAACCCAAAAAATTAAAATGTAATATATTGCAGTTTAGCAGTCTTTAGATATAGGGGCTGCATTTGTTTTATTTTTTTCAGGCTCTTTTTTCTCTATTAGTTGGGACAAGTTATAATTCATAAAAATACAGACAAAATGCACTGGAAATTATCAGCTTACAAGATTTCTGACAGAATCAACAGGTCTTTTTGCACTTATTGAACAGATAGAACAAAATGCTTTCAATAATATATTTAAAAGACAGAAAGGGAGAAATAAGAGAAGTTTATTCCTAACAACTTTATAGTTGTTTTTAACAGAACTAGAAGCAGCCTGCTGCCCCTGCCAATTTGCCTTGTTTTGCAAGGATCTACATGTGCTTTGTACAAATGATGAAGACTGGTAATGCACTAGTACTAACCACTCTGTTCTCATTCAGCTACTGCAAGGAAACTCAAATGGATTGTTAAGCTTTAAAAAAGCAACTCAGGATGATGTGACTCAGAAAGAAGAAACCTATTTATAGATGTAAAAGAAGCTTAGAATGTTGGTAACTATTTCAGAATTTTACACCAATGGCCTGGTAACGTACTTCAAAGTCAAAACAGCTTACTTGAAATCATTACACTTTGATGTGCCTAACATAGAAAGCAACTTTACTTTTTGTACACTCTTTATCAGTGGAAAGCATATATATCAGTGGTGGTCATTTTGGTCAACAATATGTTTTATAGTGATCAAGTAAGTAGAAAAAAAAAAAGAGAAGCATATGGTGCAAATTAGGAGGCATGCCATAGAATACATGAAGAGAACATATAAATGAGAAAAGCCATGAGGAAGTGATAGTATAGACAAAAAATAAAAGTTTTAAAATAAACTTATGAAGTTGAACTCCAAGAAACCTAAAAATCCTTAACTGCACCTTTTATGTCTAGGGGACTTGATAAAGCACTTTTACTTACCTAGTCCTCTGCTCCGGCAGGCTCCTCTGCACTGCTAAACCAGTCCCCACAGTCTCTTTCCCACCATGCTCCAAGTTTCTAAGATCCTCTGACATCATCAAGACTGATGCAGGGGCCTAAGTCTACATTGCACATGCGGGCGTTGAGGAACAGTCCCCTTCCAGAGCATGGGGAAGCACCATCTGCTGAGGAAGTGTCTGGCATAAGCAAGCAGCTAACCCCTGCTGTGTGCTTGTAACCACATTCCAAGGGAAGGTTTAGGTTTCCTGGTATTGGGCTTTAAATCTGTCTTTGTCATTGGGGTAAAATCTACATTGTATGTAACTCTCAGCGGGCCTCTAAATGTATGTGAAGGATACATTTCTGAAGAGCATGCTCATTTTAGTGTCACTCTCAAGTTTTAATTGGCAGTCTGTACATGCTTGCATTGTTTGGCTGCATTGCAAATTTTGTAGAAGTTGGTACATTGGACACAGGAGCATTAATTCACTAAAGCATAACAGTTACATTTAGAATTACAATTTTTTTTCAGTTCATTACACATGTGTTGATTATGAAGAAGGAAGCAATGCTCATTAATGTGCCTATAAAATTTATGATGTCTTTTTGAAGCACTGAAAAAGAATCCATAATGCTTGTTAACCACTTGCCCTCCTGAGGATTTACCCCCCTACCTGACCAGGCCAATTTTTGTGTTATGGCACTGCGTTACTTTAACTGACCATTGCGAGGTCATGCTATGCTGCACCCAAATGAAATTGACACCCTTTTTTTTCTCATGACTTGAGCTTTCTTTCAGTGGCATTTGATCGCCTGTGCATTTTTAAATTTTTTTTTTGCGCTATAAAAAACCCCCAATAATTTGGAGAAAAAAAACAATATTTTTGACTTTTTGCTATAAAACATGTCCAGTAAAAAAAAAAAAAAATTCCTTAACCTCCCTAGCGGTATGATTATTTCAGATTTTTGGTGCTGAAAGCGGTACTATTATTTTGCATGGAAATATGTAGTTTTTTTTTTGTAGGCTGTAATATTTAGGAATAACTCACTGAAATCTGTCCGAACAAGAGTCTATTAAACATCCCGGGTAGATAAAATTTGAAACACAAAATCAGAAATGATAATTTAATAAATAATCATAAAACATAATAATATTACATTTAATTCAATAATATAATTAAACCAAAAACACTGAAATTTGAAATATAGCGCCAAGTTCGCACATCGCTGAGCAAAGTCGCAAAATCGTTTTCAGTGTCTGATGACGAATTTCTCCACGAATCATTATCACTCAATTCTGCAAGTGGTTCTGATTTACTATCGCTGTTCTCTAGCTGATCTAAACCCGCTTTTGACCTAAAGGGACACTTTTTGGACGCCATGGACTTTTCTAAGTTTCCAGGCAGAAAGAACAATCAAAATGCAGACAGAGGACAGGACAAAGCACTAGGGACAAAATGTATGTGAAATGGGTTGAAACAGCAATGTTTTACTAAAATGTTTTGAAAAAAATCGTTTTTTTTTTAAAAAATTTCCCGCCGCCGCCCGACGTCACAGGGACCGGAACACAGGAGCCGGATGCCGGCATCGGCCGGGAGGAGATGGCCGGGGACGCTGCAGGAGACACATCACGGGAGCGAAGGACAAGGTAAGTGCTGCAGGGACTCCCTATGCAGCGCCGCATGGTAAGCCCGAGTGTAGCTTGGGGTTACCGCTTTTGGTACAGACATTTTACCCCGAGCTACACTCAGGAATACCATTAGGGAGGTTAATAAATTTGGGCCAAAATGTATTCTGCTACATGTCTTTGCTAAAAAAAAATCCCAATACGTGGAAATTAATGAGTTTACGTGAAAGTTATAGCATTTAAAAATGGCGCTATAGATACTGGAATTATTTTTTCTCTAGTAATGGAGGCAATCAGTGACTTATATCGGGACTGTGGGACTGCAGGACTGGTACTGGGGGGGAACTGACTAGGTGTCACTGACATCCCCAGTGACAGCAATACAGTGATCAGTGCTAAAAAAAAAGCATGAACACTGTACTAATGGCACTGGGCAGGAAGGGGTAATCAAAGGGTTAACTGTGTGCAGGGAGTGTTTTTAATAGGGGGCATTGTCTGTCTGCTTCTTCACTGTTATCACACTGCTTTGAATGGCTGTGCTGTGCACAGCCATCCAAAGCAGTGTGCCTGAGCTGACAAGGAGGAGGACTGTTACTAAACAAAACAGTCTTCCTCCCAGTTGGAGATGCTCGGTAATCACTGGGTGCCAGCGGGTAATCACCAGCCAGGATTCGGTGACTGACAGCCTTGGCAGCGAATGGCAGTGTAGGTAGGGTGCGTGCGCGGAAATGCAAAGTCCCGTATATATACATGATTTTGTGCACCCCTGCCACCCTGTAGCAGTATATCTGCTATAGGGCAGCGGGAAAGCGGTTAAATGCCCATAAAAGTATTGTTTTTTCTAGTGGAAAGTGCTTAAAAGGGGAAATGATGTAGAGGAAATAATCTGCTGTGAGGTTTGGTTGGGTTGCAGTGTGATAGCAGACATTTTTGTGAATTCTCTGCAAGATGGATTTAAGTGCTTTGATCTTTCTGACACTTGGCTTGGTCCAGCACAAGATGAACATGGAAAGAAGAACCCAGCAAAAAGAAGCTGCTCTGTACAAACAGGAAGTAGCTGGAGCTGTTCTGTCTTAATTCAATATTATTTTGCAGTGCGTTCTGGGATAAAAGAACCTCCACTGCCTCTCTCCAGAGCCCAGTTAATACTTCATAAATGCTTCATTAACTTAATTGCTATAGCTTAAATGCTATAGGTGGGGGTAAGGTGCAGTTACAGTGAGTTTCCATTGAAATTATTGGTGGCTTATACACATCAATACCTCATACAAGCAACATGCTGCTTAATGTTTAACACAGCACATCACAACACTACCACTCCTGTGTGTACTGCACTGAGTAGTACCCATTGTAATATTCATGACAGGCATTGAAAGGCAGTTATAAGGCTTTAAAAATGTTGCTTAACCACCTCAGTTCTGGAAAATTTACCCCCCTTCCTGACTAGGCCATTTTTTGCGATACAGCACTACGTTTATTTAACTGACAATTGTATGGTCATGCAATGCTGTACAAATATGAAATGTATATCCTTTTTTCCCCACAAATAGACCTTTATTTTGGTGGTATTTGAGTACCTCTGCAGTTTTTAATTTTTGTGTTATAAACCAAAAAACTGACGATTTTGAAAAAAAACATTTCTTCATAAATGTAGGCCAAAATGTATTCTGCTTCATATTGGTAAAAATTCCAAATAAGTGCATATTGATTAGTTTGTGCAAACGTTATAGCGTCTACAAACTATTAGACAGATACTGCAATTTTTTATACTAGTTATGGCAGCAATAAGCAATTTATAGTAGTACTGCAATTATGCGGCAGACATTTTGACACTAACTGACACTTTGTGGGAATGGGGTTAACATCTATGGTGATCAAAGGGTTAAGTATGTGCCTAACTAAGTGCTTGATATACACTGGGTGGTTCTGGTACAAGGGGAAGTGATAAATGGTGTTCCCAACTCTGCTCTGACACACGATTGATTACTCTCCCCTGTCAGAACAGAACCCTGCCTGCATGCCTGTAAACATAGGCAGAGCTTTGTTGTTCCACCCTGCCTAATGATCTGCAGACTTGGAGATCGGCTTCTGCTTTGACAGTTCACAGAAGAAGCGATCCGCCCAGTGAGGCGTAAATGCAAAAATCACGTATGTACATATATGTGATTTGGCATGGGAGGGTCACCCTGTAGCAGTAAACTGTTATAGGGCGGTCTTTAAGAGGTTAAATATTGCTTAACCACTTGCCCTCTAGAGGATTTACCCACCTTAATGACCAGGCCTCTTTTTGCTACTCGGCGCTGCACTAATTCAACTGATAATTGCTCGATCATGCAATGCTGTACCCAAACAAAATTTGTGTCCTTTTTTTCACATAAATAGAGCTTTCCTTTGGTGGTATTTGATCACCTGTGAGCTTTTTATTTTTCACGCTATAAGCAAAAAAGACCGAAAAATTTGAAGAAAAACAATATTTTTTACTTTCAGCTATAAAAAATATATAGTAAACTCAAAGTTAGTTATAAATTTAGGCCACGATGTATTCTGCTACATGTTTTTGGTAACAAAAAATCCTAAGAAGTGTATATTGTTTGCTTTGTGGGAAATTTATAGTGTCTACAAACTATGATATAGATACTACAATTTACGCCATTTTTTTGCTAGACAGCGCTGCACTAGTTTAATAGACAATTGCACGGTAATGCAATACGGTACATAAATGACATTTATGTCCTTGTTGTACACAAATAGAGCTTTCTTTTGGTGGTATTTTATCACCTGTGCGCTTTTTATTGTTGGCGCTATAAACAAAAAAAGTTTTTGAAAAAAACAATATTTTCTCATTTCTTGGTCTTAAAAAATATCCAAAAAAACTAAAATGTTATCATAAATTTAGGCCACAATGTATTCTGCTACATGTTTTTGGTTAAAAAAAATCCCAATAAGTGTATATTGATTGCTTTGTGTGAAAATTATAACATCTACAAACTATGGTATAGATAATGGAATTTACACAGCTTTTACTTTCTGACTGCTAAAATACCAGGATAGTACAAACACCCTTAAGTTACCCCTTTTCGGAAAGTAGACACCCTAAGCTATCTGCTGAGAGGCATATTGAGTCCATGGAAGAAGATTTATTTTTTTCCACAAGTTTCTAGAAAGTGACAAAAACATTTTTTTTGTATACAAAGTTGTCATTTAAATTATTTATTTCTAGCACAAGCCATGGGTATATGTGGAATTACACCCCAAAATACATTCTGCTACTTCTACTGAGTATGGGGATACCACATGTGTGAAACTTTTTGGGAGCCTAGACAAGTACAGGAGCCTGAAATACAATGACCACTTTGAAAGCCTGAAGGTGCGTAACTTCCTCATTTCACTTCCTCACTACCTATCACAGTTTCAGAGGCCCTAAAATGCAGGATAGCACCGGAGGCCCTAAAATGCCAGCATATGATGAATCAGGTCTGTGGACCAATACAACCGCAATTCATTTTTTTTAGTAATTCCCATGTTGAATGTTAGTTATAAAAAAAATTTAAATTCAGAAACTGTAATGAGTTTCCATGCAAATGGTCTGGCAAGGTTTGAATTTGGGTTGGCAGCGATAAACTGTTGCGAATATAAATTGCTTTGAGCCACAATCAATGCATACAGATCTTCCATGAAAAACAGCTCCAAAAAATCAAGGGGAGTAGTTAAATTTGCTATTTCCACCTGAATTCTGGGTTGGGCAGTGAATGGGGGAAGTACGGGTGCTGCAGAATTTGTGGGCTGCCAATCGGGATTTGCAAGCATGTCCATAAGGATACTAAGGGCTCTATGGGCCTGTGTGCAAATTCTTTGTGGCTGTGGGACAATACTTGTGCTTGCCACTGCACCAGCTTGTACGTCACTTATGGGACTCGCCACATCACCAATCATACTGCAGTGCTGTTATTATTATTATTATTATACAGGATTTATACAAAGCCAACAGTTTGCTCAGCGCTTTACAATATAAACAGGAGACAATACAGCAACAATACAGTTCACTACAAGAGGGTTAGGAGGGCCCTGCTCCTTTGAGCTTACAATCTAAGAGATATGTGAAAGACCAGGATGTACTAGGCCGCTGGTGCTCGCCAATTCACCAAAAGGTAGCGTGGCACTAGTACTGGCACTCTTCTGCATATGAGAGTCATCAAAATTTACCGACAAGATCAGAGATCAGGCCTAATTCTGCGAACACTGTGGTTTTGTGTGCAATGTATCAAGTGACAGTGACCCACTGACATTGCACTTGCTGGGGGAGAAGGGAGGGGGTAAGCGTAGGGGCTAAACGCAGGTGCTGGCAGGTGCCAGGGCTGATCCCGCTAAATCTGCATTTTTGGGGACGCTATATATTAATGTGAATACTTTGGTATAGTGCTGATCTGATCAAAGATATTGATCCGTTCAGACACTATACTAGCAATGGAGGTTTATTGTGTGTATGAGCATCTTCCTGGCAATGAAGGGGTTAAATGTGATTACTGGTGTACCGACGGGCAATCTGACGCTATCTGGGAGGGGCATGAAAACCATGGGAGTGCAAATCATGTATATATATGTGATTTTGTGAATCTGTGCCACCCCTGTAGCAGTATTTTCTGCTATAGGGCCACCAGAAAGTGGTTACAGAAGCGGTTTGTGTTACGTTGCTGCATTACTTTAACTGACAATTGCGTGGTCATGCAATGCTGCATCCAAATGAAATTTACAACTTTTTTTCCCCACTAATTGAGCTCTCTTTTGGTGGCATTTGATTTCCTATGCATTTTTTATTTTTTGCGCTATAAAAAAAAGCCCTACAATTTTGAGAAATAAAAATATTTTAGACTATTTGCTATAAAACATGTCCAATAAAAAAAAATTAAAATCAAATTTCATCATAAATTTATGCCAAAATGTATTCTGCGACATGTCTTTGCTAAAAAAAAAATCCCAATACGTGTAAATTAATTGGTTTATGCGAAAGTTATAGCGTTTACAAATGGCGGTATATATACTGGAATTTTAATTTTTTTTATACTAATAAGGGTGGCGATCAGTGACTTTTGGCGGTGATCAGCGACTTATGGCGGGACTGTGGGACTACTGCAGAGATTCTGACACTGGGGGGAACTGACTTGGAGTCACTGACATCCCCAGTGACACCAATGCAGTGATCAGTGCAAAACACTGACACTGTACTAATGGCACTGGGGAGGAAGGGGTTAACATTTTTAGACAATCAAAGGGTTATCTGTGTGAGGGGAGTGTTTTACAGCGGGGCAGGGGTTGTGTTCTTCACAGGAACACACTGTCCTGGAAAGCTGAACTTCGCTCTCTGGAACAGTGTGCTGGAAACTGACAGGGAGAAAAGCTGCAGTGTAAACAATGCAGCTGTGCTCTGTGTCTCTGTTTGCCGGTAATCATTGGGCTCTGGCGGGTAATCACCAGCTGGGACCCGGTGATTGACACTCGCAGACACGATGATATATATATACGTGATTTTGCGCAGCAGTGCCGCCCTGCCACAGTATATGTACTGTGGTTGGTTGGCAACTGGTTAACACACAGGATAATGCAGGCATAAAAAAGCCCTTAAAGTTGTATTACACCAATTAGCTGCATTTACTATATTGAAGAGAGCAGAAAAAAGCAGCCATTCTTAGTGGAGATAGCATAACAT